TCGCTTATGCTCAACCAATAGATATATTGGAGACTGAATCAGTCTGTTTGAATTTACTGCGGAAATAATATCTATACTCGCGAACAGCGTTGCCAAGTTGTGTTTATCTGACACTAGTGATGTATACTTTTTTACAAATTGTTGAACTTTAAACGGTCAAAAATTTTTAAATATTTTTTTTAAACTCAGCAAAAATACATTAAAAGACTGTTAGTTTTTTGAAAGCTTCTGACAGTTAGTTTTTTTTTATAACTAAGAAACTGGTACAGAACTACAGAAAGCGTATACAATCCATGTTAATTATCCAATTTTTAATTGAATTTATCTCGGGTTATAGACGGTCAATCGACTTTAAATTTTAAGGATAATTGTATTGTCATGTCCTTAATAAGTATACAAAAATTTAAAATTTTCTGATGGTATGCTTACAGCACGACAACTACCTTAAAGATATTTTCCCACTTAAATATGTTATTATCATTTATATGTTTTGACATTTTTAATTATGTTCAACATTAAAATCAATTTTTTTCCAGATGTCTTGTCAGTTTTTTAACTTAAAAACAATTGTTGACGCTAATTTGCTTTGTATTTGGCCGAGGTAAATAATAAAAAAATTAAGCAATAAACTAATTGGTTAACCAGAGTACCGTATTAATGAATTCTCTAGAGAATAGCTATCGCAGAGTGCTGTGAAGAATGCCGTGCTCAGATTGGTTGCTCTCTATAAAGATCATTTTCTATAGAAAGTAATTTCGCAAATTTTAAGAAACAAACTTAAATATTTTTATATATAAATTAAAAAGGACAAGATTAACATTTTTTGTTAAAGCGAAAATTCCATTACCAAAATCAAATTACATTGAATGTGGAAGTCAAAATTTCCATTATTTAATAAACTCATCAAATAATGAAAATCCAGGATGAATTTATTAGATCGAGTAAAAAATTGTAATGTAATAGAATGTGAAGGGAAACGAGTTAATGCGTGGGAGTGAGATGGCGATATGAAATACAGAGATAATAGACCGAGCGACGTCGAAAAGAGTTGTTCAAATCATTTTTTTTATATTTAAGTTCGACAATAAAATGTTTGTTATTCGGTGTATGCTTAAATCCATATTTAATAGCAGTTGCTATGGAAACAAATCATTTAATAAAAAAAATCGAATTTTCTTTTCTTTACTTTGATACTGTCCGATAACATTTAAAATTTTTAATTAATAAACAAATTAAAATTATTGTAAAAATTTGTATCTTGTATCGCCAATCAAACGAAAATATGCATAACAAAAGCATAATTTTAATGGAAACAAAAAACTCATTGTTTGATTGTTGTTGCAAGAACAACACTGGCTGGTGAGTATCGAACAGGCGTGCAATGCGGACGGTTGCGGGTGGTTTTTTCAATTATAAACTCTATTTGGCTTAGCACAGATTGTTGTGTAATCAGTTTAGCTCGTTACGGCTCCGCGAGCACCGAAGCATCGAGGAACAATCTAACTAAAGCAAAACCTAAACCTTAACTGGAGTAGAATGATTGCATTTTCCTGCCACCATATTACATCTCTCATCCCCGGAGTTGTACTCCTCTCCAACCCCCCCCCCATCGCCCCCAACGGTCGCTCCATTCGCAATGTCTTAACTTCATAAGTAGCTCAGTCAAGACTGACTGGATGTCTGATGTGTCCCACTAGGATTTTTGATTTTATTATTTTATTTTATGTATACGTAAACATGTTTATGCATAATATAAAAACTAGAATAGTATTGGATTTTCATTTGTTTTTAAGCTATATATAGCGACAAATTTTTTATAACTCGAAAACAAATGATAATGCAATAATTATGTTAATCTACTCCTACTGCATAATATTGTTTTTTTTTCGTGAATATTGATAAACATAAATTCCCTACCTAACAACGGGAATAATGAACTCATTATTCACTTTGTTAGGCGTCATTGATTGGCCGATTTCAATATTCACTGTGATTTGAACCAATCTGGTTTTAAATTGGGAGAAGGCGACTATATATATCATTATAATAACATTTAAAATTGGTAAAAAGTCAGGTTAACCATTTGACAGATGTCAGATTTTATTTATTTTTGAAAATCATTCATTACATAGTATAATAATATACTATTGGGTTGCAACAAAATCCAAGTAAATAAAGTAACAAATAGCCATTGAAAATGAATAAAAATCCAAGCCAACGATAGGTTAGAAAGGAAAAGTAGAATGCGAAGGAAAAATAAACCTGATTGCTGTAATACAGATTTGCGATGCATTGAGAAATTCCTGTTAAATTTCGAAATCCAAGGGATAATCCACTAGTATTTATACGACTCACAATGAAAAGCAGTAATTGAAGATTTACCTTTTCAACCATTTGAAGCTCATTTTGGAATCCCGTTCCTAATCTACACCAAGTAAGCGAGACATTGATTCTGAAAAATAGATCGATTAAAACTATGACAAAATTTCTATTTTGAAAATTACGCTCGATATAAAGCTCAAAGCATTGTATGTAATGTTGAGTGCTGTAAGGGACATCTGTTAAAGATTTAAACTGCTTTTTATTATTATTTGTTGGAAAGTTAAAAATGGCAAATAAAGAGAAATATAATAAAAATAATGAGAAACAGGGTAAGGTACCTATTCATTTACTGTTGTCAGTTCGTTTGCGGAAAAATAAATCCTCCTTTTTAAATAATGTATTTTTAAAACGCTTATTCCAATTAAAGTAAAACCTATTGAAATGAGACCATTTTAAAAGGCATTTAACATTTTAATAATCTTTGGTATTCAATTACAGGAGATTTTACTAATAATACGCAGCACGTGTCCGAAAAATTTTTAGGGATTAATTCGCGGACTTTTTAATAAGCCATCTATTGTCACCACTTATTGTTTTAAGTTTATTAGATCGCACTAATTATAATTACCCTGTATTATTGGTAATATCTGTCGTCATTTTACATTACGTTACGTTTACATTAAGTTTTTAATAAAAAAAAATTGGTTTTATATATTTTATAAAAAATATAATTTTAAATATTGTTTCAAAAACAGTTCTTAATTCATTTGATACGAGATACGAGAGATAATGCAGGCTATTGTTTACGAGGTTGAGGTTTGCGTCTCGAGTTGCCAGGCGAGAGACTTAAATCATCCGAGTGAATAATGCGCATAATCTCGAGCGTAATACTTTATCTACTCCCCCATTGATAAGCTGTGACTTTATGGCGTTTTAGTCACGGGCTGAAGTTAGCAACAATGGCTTTTGGGCTTTTTAGTCACGGGCTGAAGTTAGCTTTATTACAAATTGGGAAAAAGCGAGGTTAAATCCGTTGACAGTTGACAGATGTCAAATTTTTAACAATAAAAATTTGCTTTAAATTCTTCTTTGTGTTCGTCGTAGATAAAGTATAGTATGCAACTCGTTTTATAAACTTCTCCAGACACTCGTTTTTATTAAACACTCGCTCGCAAGCTTCGCTCGTGTCTAATAAAACTCGTAACTAAAATGGCGTTTATAAAACTTAACATAATATACTATTTTCTACTCCCACCTTTAAAACGCCCTTTATCGTACATGTTTCCATGACACTAAGTGACCTTTTAAATACACATTGACAAGTTGTGGTTTTATGGCGCTTTAGTCACAGGCTGAAGTTAGCAACAGGTTTTTAGTCACGGGCTGAAGTTAGTTTTAAGTTAGTTGACAGTTGTCAAATGTCATACAATCGTTAAAATAAAGTGCCTTTCTTGTAAAATAATACTAAATGTGAAAATTATTTTATTATTTCAATACAAAAATACAAAAGTATTAAATAGTTTCTCAACGCCAATATTTGAAAAGTTTATATGAACATTGTACTGACCTTTTAATTTCACCGGCAGTACTTTAACTTAAATTCGGGCACGGACTCCACTGTAAAGTCCTCATAAAACATTTTCTTTACTTTCACTGTGAAAAACTGACAATTTTCAAGAAATACATTTCAAATTACAACCTTTATAATTTGTGTTTATAAAAATGTGACATTTGACGGTGACACACAGATTCCTTTATTGTTTCATAGATGGCGCTCTATACAAATTTTTGATTTAAATCATTTTAAGATAATAATAAGAGTTTGTCGTAGAAAAAGTATAGTATGCATGCACCTCGTTTATAAACTTTTCTATACACTCATTAATTTAAGCACTCGCTCGCAAGCTCGCTCGTGCCTAAATTAAATTCGTGTATAAAATGGCGTTTATCAAACTTGATACATAATATACTATTATCTACTCAAATAAGTAGATAATTAAATGGTTTTCAAAAATAAATAAATAAAATCTGACATCTGTCAAATTTTTACCGATTTTAAGTGTTAATATAGTCTTGCAATTTAAAACCCAAATCACAGTGAATATTGAAAATGGTCAATCACTGATTCCTAAAAACGAGAATAATGATCATTATTCACGTTGTTAGGCAGGAAATTAATGTTTATCATTATTCACGAATAAAAACAATATTATGCAATAATAGATAAATATTATAATCGTCTTATGATGGAAGTTATGATACTGTTGATTAAATAGTATTTTATCATTTATTAATTTTACACTTTTAACTTAATATTTTATAAAAATTAAGTAATATGTTAAAGAGGTTTAATATAAAATATTATTAGATTTACAATATATCTTTATTATATTTTTATATTAAAAATTATCATCAAGATTTAACCGTCACTATATTTAACGTAAAATATAATAAATAGTATTATATTTCTAATATCATTTATTACAATTTTTTCTCCAGGTAACTAATCTTTAATTCTCTATGTGCCTCCCCTCTGCCTCACCTGATAGACCACTGCTGAACTTTCAAGATAAATTATTTCATAGTTTCAATCAATCGGGCCAATCTATTACCTATCTGAATCAATAAAATCTTAAAAATTTAGGTGATTAAAATAAGGAGTAAGAAATCGTCTACTGGAAAAATTGAATCTTTATTATTATAATTAGCAATAAAAAAATTGGCTGTGATAAGCATTTAGATGTATTTGGTGTTATGGAAATTTGGTTTGTACTAATCACTAGTTTTTCTTTTTTTTGCTGGTCTGTACAGTTGTTGTTGGTGCTACAACGTGAACTTTCTGTGAGTATTTGTTAACATAATAAAGAGCCAACAAAGACAACATCAGACTAAAAAGGAAATTATACAAATATTACAAAAAAATCATATTTTTAATTAAGTAATTGTTACCATGTCGTTCCACAAACTCTATGTATGGTTGCTGAGGCAAATAAGGCTAATAGTAGAGACAACGTAACTAAAACATAAAATATTATATATTTTATAAGAAATAATTATAAATGAACATACCTTCAGGAAATAATTTCAACTGAAACGATTTTCCGAAAAAACAGGTCTCCAAATTACCAATGGCAGTTAAAGTAAGCACAAAAAACAAAGAACCTAAATACCCTCCTAGTAAAGTATGTAATTGTGATGAATTCAACCATGGTTTATACATTTGCATTCCAGAGAACACCAATGTAGCCCCAATAGAGGCCAAAGCAAGTGATGTACCTGTAGTAACAGCTGAAAAACACACAAATTTAATAAATTACACAAAAAATTACGATAAACGCCTACCCATAGCGATATTATTAAGATTCTAACCTATAAATCGGTATTCTTCTTCTTCCCCGAAGTGACATTTGTCAAAATCAAATAAACGATGTATATATGCAACCCAGTTAACACCACAACAGTTGCGTATTTGGCAATAATGATTATTATTATTAAGCAATTACTCAACCGCTTTTTACATACAAATCATAGGTACACATATCACAACAATATTTCAAATGATTGGAGTTAACAGAAATTTTTAGTTAGTTTAGTATTTTGACAGGTGCGGCTAACTTCATAGTTGATGATTTGATACATCAGGCAGCCTCACAACCTTGACGTTTGATGTCAGATTGACAGATGTTGGGTGCAAATTTTAACTTTGATTTTTATTGATGCGTGTAATTAATATACGGGAGTGAAAATTGCGTGGAAAAACCTGTGAGAATTGGTGGTTTAACCTCAAAAAATCGACTTCATAAGAAGGTAAGTGCTGTGGGAGGGATTCTTGTGTATTGTATGAAATAAACGTGTAAAACAAGTAAATATAGCAAGTGAATATTAACATGTATTTTATATGTTACATTTTATATATAAACATATACAAAATGTATTGATACCACCGACTTGGAACTATAAAAAGGTAAATATAAATAAACCTTATTTAAATGTCACGGTTAAAAGTTTAATTTTATTTAATTTTTGAAGGAGTCGTTTTTTTTTTTTCAAAAAAATAAATGTTGCTGTATTTTAATTGCATAATTTGGTAGTTAGAATTTCACTTTCATTAATTGTAGAAATTATTTCTTAATTACTAGGAAGTTTAATTTATATTTTAGGGGGAATTTTAATTTAATCCAAAAAATTTTAATCACGTTTAAAGTAAGCACTTTTATTTCCTAGAAAAGATTATATATATTTTGCTTTATAGCAAATTTTTATTAAGTACTCATCCTATTTAAGTTTTTTCTTTTAATTTAAATTAACACCCTGTATGTCGTTAATAAACACAATATTAATAGAAATACATCACATTTATCAGTTTTAAACTGTTTATATTTATTTATGTATTATTTATTTCTTTAAATCACTAATTATAATTTTTAATTACTTAAGATTATACATATTATGTAACATTTTTAATAACATATGTTATAAATTATAACTTATAATATTCGGTCACGCATCTTTATTATTATATAAAACAATAATAATTTTCATTTTTTATTTCATAATCGTTTAATACATAAAAATTAAATTATTATTGTTGTAAGTAGGTCTACCTATAGTGGAAGAAATTCTAGTTTTTTTCAAGATTTTAAATAAAGTAAACGTAATTGTTTGTTTATTAATTACCTAAATGTAATATGCCTATTAAGACATGTTTAGGTAGGTACCTAATTAAATCATTATTTTATAGATTTTTACAAAACCCATTTTTACGGTTATACATTACCTATAGGTACATATGTATGTATATGTATTAAAAAAATACATTTTCTCTAGAACCATAATTATCTTAAGATGCGTCTATAAAAAATTAGTTGGGATAGTCAATCAACCTGTATAACTGAAAAAAAAAAAATTTTTGCCAAAAGTTTCATTTTGTCTGCGGTGTCTCAATGCGTCGTCGTTAGTAGTAAAGATATCGATGTGCGCAGTCGGGATGCGCACAATTCATTCATATTTTCAAGTCGATAATTTGTATTTTAGACCTTCCTTTCGAATGTTAACCGCATTTTAAACTTCCGAATTTGTTATTTATTTAATAGTGTCTTTTACCGGCATAAGAGCACACATTCTGACTGACGGTATGTAAAATTGTTACATTATTAATGCCTAGATGTGTTGTTTTATAGACCAAAGTCTTAAGCATGATGGTAGTGGTATGGTAGTGTCTTCTAGAACACTTGATCTTAATGGAAAATTATAATTCTTATACAATTTATTATTTTAAATAAAATAATTTTCAAACGGAAATTTATAAAAAAAATCCACAGAAAAAAAAATGATTTTCCAAAATTTTTAATTTATCATTATTAAACAAATAATTATTTTAACATTAAAATTCTAATAGTACAACTATAGTTTTTTAATAATTGCAAACTTTTTTTATCAAAATTATTGAGGGATTTGTTGAAAGCTCTGAATCTAAGTCAAGGTGCCCAAAATTAGGTCATCTCTAAGAGCTTATAAAATATATTTTATTTTTACTTCTTTTATACCTACTTTTTGCGAAATATACTTCTTGTGGATTAAGTCTTTGTTGTATACTTATATTTTATATAAGTATTTTCATTTTTTAAAATCATATAACTGTAATTAAAAAATCTTAAATATTAAACATAAAAAATTATATAGGTTGTAATAATATTGTAAATATACCATAAAATTGCACAATATTGTACATCTATCATAAAATATACTTTTTCTAATGCATGAGATTTTAAATTTGAAAGTACCTTTAGGTATTTCATTAAATATATTTGCACTTCGAGAATTTTTTATTATAAAATTAATTGTAACGCCTAAAATTCCTCATAAATAATTTCAATATTTTTTGTATCAATACACCTACTACATTTCAAGCTTTGCCATTTTAAACTATTGAATTAAAACGATGTTTGAAATAAAAATCCTTGTGTGGGAGATACGCTTGATCTTTTCTGAAAATTCGTTATTTTGATGCGTGGGTTTCATTTATCTTTTGAATGAAAATGGGAATTATTGACATTTTCATGCAACGAATTGCAAAAATGATATAGGTACTTTTTTAAATGGCTTTCATTTTATCCGGCATTTAACGAACGATATGCACATCCTCATTTTTTAATTGATAAACATATTAAGTTTATGTGTGGGTGGGTATGGGTCATTTGAAATAACTCTTGATAATAATTAGTTACGAAGAAACTCACTTGCTGTTTTGTTATAAAAAAAAAATTGTCTGTAGTTATATAAATTAATCAAAACAGTTTACTAGGTAGTATCTAATTTAAATACTTTTTTCTACTCTTACCCTTAAATCCCCCATTATTTTACATGTTTTTATGACACTAGTGATTTTTTAAATACATTGACAAACTGTGACTATGGCGTTTTAGTCACAGGCTCATTTTTATTAAACGCTCGCTCTCAAGCTTCGCTCGTGCCTAATTAAAACTAAAATGCCGTTTTTCAAACGTAATACATAATATATTATTATATACTGTACCTAATTAAAATGACACTTTATAAACTGGTTTAAAGTATATAGTAATTAAGTGAATCTTACATTTTACTAAACGACCTTGTGTTGTTGGTTTAATAAAAATTATTTATAGATACAACATATAGTACATTTTTATTACACAAATACAATTAAATACATAACTTTGTAGAAAATTATATTTTAAAATCACATAAAAAAATTCCAGGTAGAAGACATCGATTAGAAAAAACAAAATGGCTTTCGCGGGGTTAAAGAAACAAATAAACAAATGCAACCAGGTAAATTAAAAGAATAATAGAAAAAAATAAAAAAATTACACTTTTTTTTTTATTTATACAGTATGTCACCGAAAAAATGGGCGGTGCGGAAGGCACCAAACTGGACCTCGACTTTATGGATATGGAAAAGGTTAGTTTTGAGTACTGTTAAGGGGCCTTACCGACATTTTCTCTTAAGGGATTTTGCCGACATTCTTTCTTAAGTGGTCTTGCCGACATTCCCTCTTAAGGGGCATTACCGACATTTTCTCTTAAGGGATTTTACCGACATTTTCTCTTAAGGGGTCTTGCCGACATTCTCTCTTAAGGGGTCTTGTCGACATTCTCTCTTAAGGGGTCTTGCCGACATTCTCTCTTAAGGGGCCTTACCGACATTTTCTCTTAAGGGGTCTTGCCGACATTCTCTCTTAAGGGGTCTTGCCGACATTTTCTCTTAAGGGGTCTTGCCGACATTCTCTATTAAGAGGTCTTCCGATTTTTTTTCACAGAAAACAGACGTAACGTACGAGCTGGTCGAGGAGCTCCAAATGAAGACGAAGGAGTTTCTGCAACCGAATCCGACCGCTAGGGCGAAGATGGCCGCCGTGAAGGGCATCAGCAAGTTAAGCGGCCAGGCCAAGTCCAATACGTATCCCCAACCCGAAGGCGTTTTGGGCGACTGTATGTTGATGTACGGCCGAAAATTGGGAGATGACAGCATGTTCGGTAACGCTTTGGTCGAAATGGGCGAAGGTTTGAAAACGATGGCTGATTATAAGTACTCTCTCGATGATAATATCAAGCAAAATTTCCTCGAGCCCTTGCATCATTTGCAGACGAAAGATTTGAAAGAAGTTATGGTAAGATTCTGCTTAGCATTTTAAAATGTCGTTATTTTAGCTTAGGGTAATTGTAACTCGTCATCTTAGCTTGTTGGATTGTCATTATTTTAGCTTCTAGTCATCTTAATTTGTCATTTTAGTTTGTTATCATATTAGCTTGTCGCTATTAACTTGCCATGATTTTGGTCATTACCTTGTGGTCATTTTATCTCGTCATTATTTTAACTTGTCATAATTTTATCTTGTAATTTTTTTTAGCCTCCGGTCATTTCAACTTCATTTAGTTTGTCATCATTATAGCTTATTTTCATTTCGTTGTCATTACCACATGGTCATTTTAGCTTGTCATTATTCTAGCGTCATCATATTATAATAGCTTGTTAAGTTTCTGGTCATTTTCATTAGCCTTTATTTTAGCTTATTATTTAAGTTGTCATCATTTAAGCCTGTTATTATTTAGGCTTGTCGTCATTTTAGCTTGTTATTATTTACCTTGTTATTATTTAAGCTGTTCAATATTTTAGCCTATTGCTCTTTTATCTTTTCATTTAAGTTATTTATTAACTTGTAATTTTTTAGGTTCCGGTCATTTTAACTTCATTTTAGCATGTAATCATTTTAGATTATTAATATTTAAGCTTGTCATCATTTCATCTTATTTTCATTTTGTTGTCATTACCTCGAGGTCATTGTAGATTGTTATTATTCTAGCTTGTTATCATATTAGCTTGTTAAGTTTCTGATCATTTTCATTAGCCTTTATTTTAGCTTGTTATTATTTAGGCTTGTCATCATATTAGCTTGTTAAGTTTCTGATCATTTTCATTAGCATTTATTTTAGATTATTATTTAAGTAATCACTTTAGCTTGTCGTCATTTTAGCTTGTTGTTATTTTAGCTTGTCATCATATGAGCTGGTTATCATTTTAGTTTGTTATTATTTATCTTGTCATTATTTAAGCTGTTCAATATTTTAACCTATTGCTATTTTATCCTTTCATTTTAGTTATTTATTAACTTGTAATTTTTTTAGGTTCCGGTCATTTCAACTTCATTTTAGCATGTAATCACTTTAGATTATTAATATTTAAGCTTGTCATCATTTCATCTTATTTTCATTGTGTTGTCATTACCACGAGGTCATTGTAGCTTGTCATTATTCTAGCTTGTTATCATATTAGCTTGTTAAGTTTCTGATCATTTTCATTAGCCTTTATTTTAGCTTATTATTTAAATTGTCATGATTTTAGCTTGTTATTATTTAAACATTTTAGCTTGTAATAATTTAGGCTTGGTTTTTTTCTTTTTTTTAGCTTTTTGCTTGTTATTATCCAAGCTTGTCATCATTTAAACTTGTAATAATTATGGATTCCGGTAATTTCAACTTCATTTTAGCATTATTTAAGATTATTATCTATTGAGCTTGTTAATACTTTACTTATTTTAATTTTTTAATGTGTTTTAGCTTTTTATTTAGTTAAGTAGCTTATGGTCATTTTAATTTCTTATAATTTTATCTTTTTATTATTTAGCTTGCCTTTCATTTTGGTTTTTCATTATTTTTGCTTGTAATTATTTGAGCTCGTCATTACCTTGTGGACATTTTAGCTTGTTAATATTTTATTTTTTAATTTCAGCATCATAGGAAAAAATTACAAGGTAGAAGACTTGATTTTGACTGCAAGAGGAGAAGACAAGCCAAAGGTAAAGGTAAATACCATACAGTGTGTTGGGTTACGTAAAACTCAAACACCCTGTTTTAATTACTAAATAATTTAAGACGAAAATGAGCCTATTATGTATATGTAGGGTGAGTTTAATCGACGTATCCTCGTATAATCATTGAAATTTTGAAAACATAATGTGCTCATATATTTAAGCATGTATAAAATGAATATGCATGATTATAGCAACCAAACCGACTCTTAGCCCTTTCTCGAGTCCTGTCAAAGTACAGGTGAATGCATATGGTATGTTTTATTTATTAATTTTACCCTTAATTTCCTTTTTATTGATTATTTTTTATTGTGCATGCAACGTTATATATTATTACATATATTTTTATAATTTGGGTTTTTAAATTGTTTATGCGTAATTCTAGGCGCAGTACGACTGCGCCATTAGGCTATTTAGGCTTATTATTATTATTATTATTATGATATTTTATGATTTATGATGAGGGGGTCAACCACCCAAAGAAAAAACTTCCAGGGATTCCCATAAATTCCCATTGTATTTCTATGTATTCCCATTGTGTTCCTATGATATTCCCCCTTTAAAATGTCCAGGGATTCCCAGGTGTGGTTGACTCCCCGATTTATGATTATTATTTTGGCATGTTTATTAATTTGGCACGAACAAACCTGTTGTCGGTTTCTTGACAAAACAGGTTCAAATGTTACAGATGATGAAATCAAAATGGCCGAAGACAAGTTCGCCGAGTCCCTTCATCTCGCCCAAATGGGCATGTTTAATTTATTAGAAAACGATGTAAGATTTTAACTCTATGATCTTGAATTGCTTGATTTTTTTTCCAACATTTTTTTAGGTCGAACAAATATCACAACTGGCAACTTTCGCTGAAGGTCTACTGGACTACCACATCCAGTGCACCGAAGTCCTAAAAACTTTGACTGAAGCTCTTCTCGAAAAGTAAGTCCAACCATCTTAAAAGTTTACTGTGGGTAACGGGTTTTTTTTCTGCAGGAAAGACGAGGCCGCAAATCGTCCAAAGATGGAATTTGTGCCAAAAACGTTGACTGAATTGAACATCGACGCGACGGACGGCTATAACGGTACAAACGATAATAATTTCATTAATCAGCATCACGGCAGCAACTCGAACTTGTCGGGCAGCTATCAGTTCAAAAGGCCCGCCCCGAAAAGTGCCCCCCCACCAAAACAAAACAAACCCGACCTGTTGCCCTACAAACCCGATCCCCTCGATCCTTGGAGCATACAAGGTACCTACTCAAGTTTTTTTGCTTTTTTACTAACAATTTTACTAACACTTTACTAAACAGTGACACCTAAAGTTTCTCAAGGACATTTATTTTGTTTTTATTTTTTGACTTCCTTCTATGAGTCCCTTATCCTAAAAATGGCCGCTGATGTGAAATTATTTTCATAATACTGGTAATATTGGAGCGACATTTTTTACACAAAATTGAACATTAAAAATAAATGCATTTTCCCACGTAATTTTTATAATCAATGAACTGTGCTCTAAAAATATAAACTTGCTGGCACAGTGCCGAAAGCGTGATGTTTCTGTGAAAATTTCTCTTACTTATATTAAATCATTTTTGATAAAAACTGTGGTTAAAAATGTCGTTACCTCAATGTTTTTCCTTTCTTAACTGTGTTATGTGTTGTTCCAAAAAAGACGGCTTATTAGGCTCTTCCACATTGTCTTCTCCGCAACATAAACCCAATGAATTGCAGTTGCATCCAGGAAATCAATCTGCTAATGGTAACGTTTTTGTACACTTATCAGTTTTTGTCGTTGTATATTTTATATACTTTATTTCTTTCTGAAAATACTTTGTATGTCTAATTATATCCAGCTGTTGTTTTCAGAAAGGTATAGGTATATTTTGTGTGAGTAGTTTTTTTGGTTTTGATTTGTTTAGATGGTACTAAAAATTAACAATGTTAACATAAAAACAAAATTAAACTTTGTTTTTACTTTTTTAAACCTTGAATATTTCAACTGGCATTCGACCAAGTAAGTCATTTGTCATTTTAAATACAAACAGGTTGTATTATTGGGTACTATAAAAAGTCCGATGATTTTAATGCATGCGTCCTGACTGGTAGGCTCAATGGCCACTTTAGGATATTAAGAGCCGTACTCGACAAGAAGTTTCCGTTAGGACCGCTAGGTGTCTCACCTGAAGGATTAACACACATACGTGGATTAACATATCCAAATCAAAATTTTCACTGATACGTCATGTGGCACCCAAAAATCTAGCTTCTTGCATTTAACCATCTCCATCTTGGACATGATATAGCACCATCACCATAAACTTTTTTGAAAGAGAATTTTAGAATATCATCAAAAATAACTTTTTCGATACCATTTGATGTTTTCCTTTTCTACGAGTGTCTATAGAAAAAAGTATTTTTAGCATCTCCTTTGCCGTCTCCAATGAAATCGCCGGCCAGAAGTCCAATGGTTAAGCAGGCGTGCTGTACCGCTTTGTACGATTTTGATCCTGAAAATCCCGGGGAGCTTGGTTTCAAGGTAATTAATTAACCTTTGAGCCGAAGGTAACATTTTTTCATTTATTATTTTTTCCAGGAAAACGACTCAATAGTTCTCCTTAATAAAATCGATGATAATTGGTATGAAGGAACGATAAACGGTAGGACAGGATATTTCCCAGTAAATTACGTAAGAGTCGACGTGCCACTACAGTAAAAAAATAATTTTTTTTCTTATTTCATTTTGTATTGGGCATCAAAGAACCACCCCTTATTTTTTACCTTAATAACAAAATGCTTATCCATGTTATCCAGAAATTAAGATTAAAAATAATGGTGCTATTTTCTTGACACCCTGTTTTTTTTATTGAATTGTGTTTTTCATGTTTTACAAAAATGGTTATTGATTTTTTTAACCGGTGATCTAACGTACCTAGTCCGTTTTTTTCTAATGATTTTTAATGATTTTTTTTGGACGAGGTGTATATTTTAAATGAAGCAAAAAATATTATCATGTGCATATTATAATAATTATATAAGAGGATATTGTTGAAAATGTTTGGAAAAGTATAAACCAATATTATGTATTTATATTTTTTCAAAAAAAATAAGACTTTTGTATGAATTTTTTAAAGAAAGTAATTATGGTACATTTATTTTAATGTTATATCAGTATTTTACGATGATGTATATTTCTTTTAGAATGGGTTAAGATAATAGAATTCGAGTTATTTGCTGTAATATTTCGTGTGTGTGTTGTAATGTCAATTTAAATAAATAATAGATGTACGTATTTTTGGAATGCCATTTATTAAAATGTAAAAATGTACATTTCTATTTTCTTAACCTACCTGTGTTTTACACAAAAACGCAATATCTCGGTAGAAAATGTTCACTTTTTACATTATTTATGAAGACATATAAATAAAAATAATAGCGCGTAGGGTCCATAAAGAGTTAAATAGTCGATCAATTCAACTATTTTCGTTGTACTAATGCTCATTTATAAACAAGACTGATTGATCCAATTTTAGTTAATTAATTTAAGTGATTTCATTTTAATCGTTAGGTTTAGTTCCGAAAGATGGCGCTAACTATCGCTGTTCCTCTATGCGCACGCGTACATCCAATTAAACAGGCAATTAGTTGACATTTTATGCAAATGTTAGTCCTATATATGAACATTAGTGAAATATTAACGAACATTAGTGAAATATTATTATAATTTACACAGGGTGTTTCGAAGATCGAGAATATGCGTTTAATATTTTTAAATGTGTATTTGACATTCTTTTGGCTTTCACAATTCACAATTTTTACATGTGTTTTTTAAATAATAAAAGTACACCCTGTATATTATATATAATTTTATTAATATCTTGTTTTCCTGTAGCTTAAGTGTTTCTATAGCCTATTACTTACTGGTCTTCTAATTATCTCTGTATGAACAAATAAATAAAATTACAATTGTTGTTTCTATGTTGAAAAATCTTATATTACCTATATATATTATGAATATATGCGAATTAAGTATAAAATTGAAAACAAAATATAAGTGAATGATGTTAATGGCGCTGGCAGCCTCTTGTATATCGGTTATAGGAAGAGGTTGAAGACTTTTGTACAGGATATCAAAAGTAATGGTCCAAAGTTCTGATTGAAGATTTTGCAAAAATTCTTTGTGGGATTTTTTGGATTATTATTTTTAACCCTCTATTATTAACCACAATGTTTTTTAAGACTTTGTCTCAACCTTTTACAACTTGCCAAATATGTTAAATTGCATGAATTGAAAATAAAATAAAATATATGTGTTGAAAAATATAAAAAACAACATTTTGTTGATGTTTCCAAATGTAGTTGATAGATTTCTGCTGAAACTTTATTCGCCCAATAATTTTAACGAGTTTTTGTTGCTGCTTTTTATCAAACCGCACCAAATTTGTTTAAACAATTTTTGATAAAGTTTTAGCCGAAATATTAAATTATTTAAATTTGTCATTTGACATATGCTATAGGTGTATTATATTTGTGTGAATAACACCAGAACGGCCCAACAATTATTTTTCTGTGCTTTAAATTGCATTTTAATTGCTGCAGTTCCCTACAACACACTGTATAGAAAAATAAACAATGTTAAGTAAACTATTAAATCGCAGAAAAATAGTGTATTGGCTTCTCTGGTTCAAGACAATACTTTAGATATAATTAAAATATAAGTATATTCATTCAAGTACTACATAAGTCATTAAAATAATACTCTATAATACCTAGCTGCTGCGACTTAAATCCAAACAGTTATTATTAACACAGCGAATTTATGAAATTATGAAAAAAATAATTAATTACACTGCTTCACAGTACCTAATAAAACTAAATCATGAGATGTATTTTCATGACTGCACTTTAAATTAAATAACTTATAACGTATAAAAATATTAAGGGCCATATTTTTTGAAATGTAGCAAGTTACCAATTACTATTGTTAATACACAATACACATGTATACAATGTTACCGTATTTGTGCATTAAAAATAAAAATGTGTCATATTATCCACCAGACTTTTATTAATCAAGTCCCGGGATGGTAATGAATCAACGCAAGCTTGGAATCCGACTCGGAAAGACACTCACACAGACGAACAGGAAGTACTTTAAGACTAGCAAGAATAGGTCCTAGCAGCGTACTAACCAACCAAGCCCCATTCATGATTGTACTTAGTATTGGGTCAGTTTAATGTCTCTCAAAAACCAAAATGTTTTCCCTCCTTGTCCCGCACTCCTCTAGCCAAAATCGGGCGTATGGCCCGGCCCGGCGACAAAATTACGGGAGTGGCCTTAACCATCGACAATGAAATCAATGCAAAAACCAGACTTTGCCCCCCCCAGCGACTATTATCCACTTCCGAACTTGACGAGGTAGTTCCAGGGAAAGAAATGTCCAATCAGAAGGTTAGAATTAAATACTTATGTTATTATGAACACTAAAGGTGTTTTTGAAGAGTTAAAAAATATACTACTTATTTAAAAGGTTGGATAATGTAAGTACTCAAGATAAGATAATAAAAAATCAAAATCTAATCATTACAAATTTATTAATAAATAATTTATATTATAAACAACATTAATAAAGTTAATGTAAATAAAAATACTATAAACATTAAATATTGTTTGGAAAATGTAAGACATGTTTCCGTGTAAAATTTACAATGTAAATTGCAGGCACTTGATGAGTCTATATCTCCGTCTGTGTTTGTTATTTTCATATTTTGAACCATTAAGAATTTAACCTGTAATTAGATAAATGCATATGATTTAACAAAAAAAAAAATAATCAAAATTAAAATATAGAACGTGAACGAAGCGATTTACACAAATTTATGATGTAACTACTTGTTACATTTTAACACAAACGCCAAAAGTCAAAGTATCTTAGCTATACATATTTGAAGCGTATTTAAAATTTAGTACATCTACCTTGTTTTCCTCTATAGAAGCTTCATTGACTATCACATCATCATGCAAAGTCATAGAGTATCTAAAACAAGTTAATGTTTTAATCATTAGTTAAAATTAATTTTACACTTAGTAGCTAGATGTTAGGATGTATACCAAATTAAATAAGCATTTGTCTTACAATGTTCCCATTATGTTACAATATTAAACTAGGTGTAGATTAAAGCAAGCATCACATCATGACTGCGCCATACAAAATGTGTTTTTTACAACCAGATTCGTGTTTAATTTGTCTAGTGTACTTTGACTTTTGGATTTATATTGTGAATTAATCTAGTCGTACCATGAGGTCAGTGATAGTATTTTGTACAATGTTTTTATTAGTGTTTAACATATATAGAATGAGTTAACTAAACATTTACTAACTTTAAGCTGCCAGGAACGCTGGGCACGCGCTGTATAGAGGGGTAATCTACCCTTATTGTGTTGGGGTCGAGGGATTGAGTCATCTTTGGTTGTGTTTGAAGTCCAAATAGTAGTTCGGCTGGTTGGGCAGTGCGACGCCGAATTTTAGACTTGTTTGCTGTGGTTTCAAAATTGAACCTAATAAAATATAAAGTTTATGTGTGTCATGGATTTTTAGTAGGTACTTGTATACGTACGGCAATTCTAGTGATGAGTTAGATCTGGAGGAATTGTTTGAGCTGGTATCGTTAGCGTTGCTTGACACGCTTGTAATAAGTTCCTTGGAGAAAATAGGTATTTCGTTTTGTAATACATGGTCCAACAGCTGTCCCTTAACATTCGTTTCTTGTTGTAACTAATAAAAAATATGTAAAAACTAGTCCATAATAAAAAAATATATAATTACCTCTGCTAAAGAGGCTTCGTTCTCCTTTAACTTGGCATCTCTCTGGGCGACTGCATGGCTCTGCGATAAGGTCATGTTACACAACTTTTGTATGATATATTTAGCCTCGTCTATATCATAAACCGTTTCGACAAGATGTTGTATATCGGCGTGCTCATTTACATCCTGCCCTTCCTCAATTTGAATAACATTGTGCTGAGTTTCAGCGATTGTTTCCTGAACGTAGTTGATGTTTTCTTTGATATCCTCAATGTAGCTATCTAGCTGTTGGACGTCTTGGTTTTTATTGACGGCTTGTTTTCTGCGTTCTTCGAGGATATCCAGCTCCTTACCCAGTGCTTCGCGTTTTTCCAGGAAGTGCTCCATGCGCACTTCTTGCTCGACAAGTCCCTTTTTGCTCATGGCTATATTGTTTATGGATTTTTCAACCGTGTGCCATTTTTGCTTGGCCGTTCTCTCAGACGAAACCTTCTTCGGTACTCTGCCCGATGCCTTAACACTTAACTTATTCTTCTGACTTTTCCTCAACACACTCACCTCTTCTTGTTTGCGCTTTAATACTTGATCTTTGATCCTCCTTTCATTCTCCATAGTTTTTATTACATTGGCGTTTTTTCTCGACTCTTTCTTCAACTGGGCAATCTCGCGAAGTCGCCGCATTTCAGCTTCCTTGTGTTTCTGAGATTCTTCCTTCATTTTGTTAATGAGGCGCACCTTGGCTCGTTTCATGTCCATCAATTCGTTTTTGTACGATTTTAGTTGGTTTTCGTGTTGATTTTGGCTTTTTACTAACCTAACATGCTCCTTTTGGGCGCTTTGTAATTTCTTCATCTCTTTTTGCATATCGTTTAACTTCTTTGTATATTCATCCTTGACTCGTTTTACTTTTTCTGTTGGTTCTGGGCTGGCGCTGTACGAATGTAAAATTCTGTCTCGTTCCTCCTGGGTGTTTTTAATCCTCATCTGCAATTGCATCAACTTATCCTCGTAGTGTTGCCTCATCGTTTGCATTCTCCTCTGTGATAACTCCAACTCATCGATAAGTTTCTGCTTCATATCTATATCGTTTGTTAGTGATATTAACTCGTGTTTAAGTGTGGTATCGATATCTTTATCCTCACTATCACTGGACATATCAGAATCCACATCGCTGTCAATCTCCATTGATCTGCGATTTAAAACTTCCTTTTCCTTCTGCAGCTTGCGTTTCGCATCTTCTATGATAAAGGAGTTGTTGTCCATTGAAGAATCAAGATCGAAGTTGTGAGTTATTAGGACTTGAGAGCGATTCAGTTGTTTTCTCAATTGCTCGCAGGTGTTGTTAGATTCCATTAGTTTGGCCCCTAGTTCTTCTATTTCTTTGAGGTACGCTTGAACCATGCATGCGACATCATTGTCATTCCCTCCACCAAACCAGTTACCCATTGCTTTCTCTGCTAGTAGGTTAGTGTTTTTAAGGGTTAAAGCGTCTATAGTTTCTTGCATTGCTTTTACTCTGGTGCGTAGATTGTTAACTTCGCCCTGAAGCATGTTATTTTCGTAGAACATATCGTTCACGACTTCGGAACCATCTTGTCCGATGATCCGTTTGCCCTGCTTGTACTCCACCAACTCCAACTGTAGTTGAGCAATTTGTTGCTTAAGCTGCGATATAGTTTTGGAACTCTTATCTTGATTTATAAAGATCCTATTTTTAATATTTCTAGCCCTATTGGCGTACTTAAGTGTGTTTAAAGTCTCCATGAAGTCTCGATCGCTCGGGCTGACGCACGCTATCATAACAGTCTGGGAATTTCCGCCCAAACTATCCTGTAATAGCCTGGTCAGCTTTGAATCTCTATAAGGAATGTGCGATGCTTTCTTAGTCTTATCACCAAGCGCGGAAATCACGTTACCCAACGCCAATAAACCGCAATTAATTGAAATGCCTTCTTTCTGCCGCTCCCCGGTGGCGCCAGTCCTCTTCAGTCTCTCCGAACCTGCCAAATCGACAAAGTGAAACTTGGCCGACAACGTTTCGAACTCGTTGTTGTCCTCTTCAGGCACCAAACGGTGCTGTTTGACGTGCAATGTAAATATAGCGTGGGATCTTGACGATTGCGTGTTCATCTGCGTGCTCGCCGTGGTACGCGACAGAGCGCCTAGTTTTAAACATTGTAATGCTTCTTCTGCTGATAATACTGTTTTAAAGGTTACCCCTTTCACCATAATACCCCCGTGAGGATCCTCGTGGATTTTGTAAATTTTATCCTGAAATAAACAAGATTGGATTTTGCCACATAGAAGTTATTGAAATTTGGCAGATATTTTCTTAAAGCCCTACACCCAAACATGTTAAAATATGAACATCATAGCTTTTCAACTTTCAAGATACGAGGTGTTATCAATAACTAAGGAAAATCGTCATATTTGGTCAACTCATCATATTTCGGGAACTATACGAGTTTTACTCTTTACATTTAAAAGGCAATTACTGTAAGTCACACATCCTAACATGTTTAAACATGAACACTATAGCTTCTAAACTTTTCAAGATACGAGGTAATCGTCATATTTTGTCACCTTATCTAATATCTCAGGAACTATAAGAGTTTTACTTTTTAAATTTGGAAGGTAATTACTAAATGCTCTATATCCTAACATGACCAAACAGGAACGTCATGGCTTCTAAACTTTCAAAGATACGAGATGTTTTCAATAACTATGAAAAATCGCCATATTTGGTCAACTCATAATATCTCGGGAACCATAGGAGTTTTATTCTTTAAATTTAAAAGGCAATTACTGTGAGTCACACATCCTAACGTGTTTAAACATGAACACTATAGCTTCTAAACCTTTCGAGATACGAGGTAATCGTCATATTTGGTCACCTCATCTAATATCTCGGAAACTATAAGAGTTTTACTTTTTAAATTTGGAAGGTAATTACTAAATGCCCTACATCCTAACATGACCAAACAGGAACGTCATAGCTTCTAAACTTTCAAAGATACGAGATGTTTTCAATAACTATGAAAAATCGCCATATTTGGTCAACTCATAATATCTCGGGAACCATGGGAGTTTTATTCTTTAAATTTAAAAGGCAATTACACATCCTAACATGTTTAAACATGAACACTATAGCTTCTAAACTTTTCGATATACGAGGTAATCGTCATATTTGGTCACCTCATTTAATAACTCAGGAACTATAAGAGTTTTACTTTTTAAATTTGGAAGGTAATTACTAAATGCCCTACATCCTAACATCACCAAACATGAACGTCATAGCTTCTAAACTTTCAAAGATACGAGATGTTTTCAATAACTATGGAAAATCGTCATATTTGGTCAACTCATAATATCTCGGGAACCATAGGAGTTTTATTCTTTAAATTTAAAAGGCAATTACACATCCTAACATGTTTAAACATGAACACTATAGCTTCTAAAGTTTTCGATATACGAGGTAATCGTCATATTTGGTCACCTCATCTAATAACTCAGGAACTATATGAGTTTTACTTTTTAAATTTGGAAGGTAATTACTAAATGCCCTACATCCTAACATCACCAAACATGAACGTCATAGCTTCTAAACTTTCAAAGATACGAGATGTTTTCAATAACTAAGGAAAATCGTCATATTTGGTCAACTGATAATATCTCGGGAACCATAAGAGTTTTACTCTTTAAATTTAAAAGGCAATTACACATCCTGACATGTTTAAACATGAACACTATAGCTTCTAAACTTTTCGAGATACAAGGTAATCGTTATATTTGGTCACCTCATCTAATAACTCAGAAACTATAAGAGTTTTACTTTTTAAGTTTGGAAGTTAATTACTAAATGCCCTACATCCTAACATGACCAAACAGGAACGTCACAGCTTCTAAACTTTCAAAGATACTAGGTGTTATCAATAACCATGGAAAATCGTCATATTTGGTCAACTGATAATATCTCGGGAACCATAAGAGTTTTACTCTTTAAATTTAAAAGGCAATTATTGTAAGTCACACATCCTAACATGTTTAAACATGAACACTATAGCTTCTAAACTTTTCGAGATACGAGGTAATCGTTATATTTGGTCACATCATCTAATATCTCAGGAACTATAAGAGTTTTACTTTTTAAATTTGGAAGGTAATTATTAAATGCCCTACATCTTAACATGTTCAGCCATGAACATCATAGCTTCTAAACTTTTCGAGATACTAGGTCCTTACCTTATTGTTGTACGCAGGGTTAAACAGATCGATAACCTCCTCGTTGTATAGCTCCATGAATTGAGCCGTGACCTTGAATTCGGGGGGTAGTTGGCCCAAATCATGTGCGTTTTGGATTTTTTGGTGCATACCGTCAAAAAGGTGGTGTATTGCTCTGGGTATTATACCTAATTGATCACTGGGTAGGTCTACATCAAATCCGGAGCCCATTGTGTAGGTTTTGCCTGAGCCAGTTTGGCCATAGGCTAATACTGTTGCATTGTACCTTGAGAAAATTGTATGATAGTTTGACAACCTTTTAGATTAGTCGTTAAATATTTACAAAGAAATCGATATTGTATGGATAGAGGAAAAATCGTTAATTTTAATATACTAATTAATAATTAATTAACTAATATCAAACCATCCATTTCTTATTTCGTACAAGAAAGTAATTTTCTATTTGTAGGTTGTTTCCAAATTGGTTTTAATATTTTATCATTTCAAAGGTTGTAGACAACAATGTTAGGAAAAGATAATAATTGGAATTTTAATGAAGTGATTTTTTAATTTTACCACAATTTTAAGCAGGAAATTAACGAGTTGTAATAAGAATTAAAATAACGGAAACTTTTGTCGTTTTATTATAAAAACTCTTTTAGGAAAAGAGATGTTAACATATCATATAAATTAGATGACCTTTAATAAAAAAGAAACAATAGTAAAAAATATTATTAATAGGGATACAAATTTGATATTTGTAAAAGTCAATATAGGTAATATTGTTTTAGTCTACGTAAACTTTATCTTTATAATCTATTCATATATGTACCTACAAAAATGTACAAATAGGATATCTAATCAATAATTGGTAATGATATCGAAATTTCTATTGTGTATTAGTAAATACAAAATGTAAAAAATTACCCTTCAAGGGAGGAATCGACTAGAGGTGCCACGCACTTTTCGTAAACGTTTTCCTGATACGTATCCGTATCGAAAACGTAATTGTACGTAAATGATTTGTCATTGCCTAAAGTTACTTGTGGTTCCCCGGGTGTAACTGATGTGCATATGTGACACATGTCAATTATTTCACGAGGTGTTTGGGGCCTTATCCTAAAAAAAATAAAAAAAAATGTTGAGCATGAATTGATGAAAAAATAATAATTTAATATGCTTAAGTAATCGCGACAACTTTTTAACTATAAAACAATCAAATTCCAATAATACTAAAATCGTCCAATGCATCATTGAGTCTCCCTGTATAATATAGTTGGTGGGTGTACATTCAAGTTAGTCTAATGAATTCTAGAATACAGCGTCACAAAAATATAAAAATTAACATAAATTTATGGAAAAAGATTATTACTTTTTTTCTATGAAAGAATTGACCAATATGTAAGACGCAAAATAATGAATATTTATTTTATTTTTTTTATCAAAACACAAACTTGATTATCTTTATATTTATAGACTTCAAAGTGGTTATTGAATGCTGACAGACATTTAAAATAAACAAATTATTTGATCTATGCTGTGCTAATATAAAATATACAGTCAATAGGATTATTTAATTATGTTTGTTTTATGTGAGATTTCCTATTAAAAAGGATTATTTTTAACTGTGATGTTGATTATTTTATAATTAATTATCAAGTTAAACTGCCTGACAAATTTATATTTTAGGATAGGTATGCGCATATTTAAATAAATTAAATGTAAAAAATCACTGAAAATTACTTAACCCTAGTATTATAAATTATAATTTACATATAGAACATTGCGAAAGTAAATTTATTTTAAGCAATAAGTATGATGACATTAACTACCTATAAGTTGTTAAATTTTAAACATATATTTGCTTTTGTAATTATTACAAAGTAGTATTATTGTTATAGAAACATACAGTATGTTACTTAATTTCCTTTTTTTTTACTATCCATTAATTGTCACGCCAATGAGGGTAATAAAAATACAAATTAGACTAGAGAAATCGTTAAAAATAGGTATACCTAATTTACTATTAATAAAATTGTTTATGCAATCAATATTTTTTACCTAATAACGCTTATTGAAAATGTTCAATGCTAAAATTCAATGTCGTAGGTATTAGTCATATTACCTTAAAAACATTAATTTTGTGGAAGATTTTTTGATTTCAAATTTAATATTTTATAATATGACTTTTTAAAATTGTAATTTTATAGATTTTAAAAGCATAGTAAGAAAAAGCATAAAATCATTACAGTAATTACAAAATTAAAATTTTAAAAAACTACTACGAAAAATCAACATCCGCAAAATAAAAACATTGAATTGGTCAAAGATTTTTATCCTACGACAATACCTGCATTATTCCGCGTTATCAATTTAAATAATTAATATTTTGTCTACGCAAATATGACGATTTTCCTTTTGGTAGTTTTATTTTATTAAAGTAACTGAAGCGGCTCTCGTCTATATTTAGATGTCTTGTATAATGAGGGGAAACAAAACTGCAAGGGTTTAAGGTATATAAATATATTATTTCTCCTCACCTAACAGCCACTCTGACCGAGCTATCGTCCTCTTCTATTTTCTCCATGATTCTAAAAACTTGGAAAAACCTTACATCTGCACTAAGCACCTGCGATTATACACCTACCTCTATTTAAACAATTAATAATTATTTTACATAATGACACAACCTTTAATTGAAATAAACAAATTAATTTACACCTATACGGTTAACCGACAAACAAAATATCACGAAAACCCATGTCTTTTGACATGACGGTTTTTATTGTTATTTTTTTGTAAAACAATGCAAGTGAAAGTTACTAACTATAACCTATAACAGCCCACATTCACATTAAATAGGCGGCGCAATCGTCCACTGCGCAAGCCCTGTTGCCGCTACGCTGGTTCGAACGGTACTGAGCCGAGTTTTTACAGGTAGGTAGACAAATTCATCTATCTAGTCGCCGCGCCGGGGAAATAAACAATGGAAGGACATAATTTGCATTTATCTTTTAATGACGACACAATTTTATCCCCCTAGATTACCGGCTCATATCTTGTTGATTTAGTTGGGTTTAATTTGGGACGAATGTTAGTTTTTGCACAAAATACATCCGATTCTGTAAAGATATAGGTATACGAGGGGGGTTCAAAAGTTCATAACTTCGCCTACAGAAAAAATCACACTCATCCATCATCCCACATCCACCTACTGAGGTCTGGAGATCTAGCGCGAGTGTACCAAAAAAACTTGGCATCGCTGGAAAATCAGTCAAGCTGGCATCCTGGCTGGCAGGTAATTCAATTATATCGATTATCGAGCCATGCGTTTCAGTGCAGGTGTAGCTTCTAATTAAGTGCATCATTGAAGCAAATGGAAACAACAATTAACTCTTGCATATACACCTAACGGCGATTTTTTATAAACGTTTCGCATGTAAAACATGTCATAAGCGTTGCTATTTTCATTTTAAATGTGCACATTGAGATTTTAATAAACAAGGTCGTGTCTCGAGGTAATCTAACTTTAAAATGCATAATTTTAATATGCAATGATTGTAAGTGATATTTGGTAGGTACACATGGTGTGGAAAAGGAAAAAAAACATCACTTTTCTTATTATTATATTTATTATACCAACATTTATATCAATATATAAACATACATTAGATTTATTTAAATATTACAAATAAGCCCATTTACTTAATATTAAGTGTAAGCACTTTGATGCTTTTGATTCCATGATTTTGAATTAATTAATGTTTGGTTTGCCTAACGATACCGAAAATTTAATACCTACTACAAAATATATAGAGCCTATAGTAATTGGCATATATTTTATCTAAGAATTTTGAAAATTTCATAGTTTATTTAAAATTTTGACGAAACAATTTTTTTTAACAACTATAAAATTTTCAATGAAAAATTGTTCCCATTATTTCTATAATAATCTATTCTATTAAACATTTATATTTCAATAATATATTTTATAATATTAATAGACAAACCCTGTATACCAAATTTTTTATCATTAAAACGATAAACTAAACATTCATGTATAAAAAACAATTACATGCATTAAAAATACACCCTGTACAAGCTTTTAACATCTATTATTATGCACCATGTATAAAAAAAGAACGCGAAGTCGTACAACACGCTGTAGAAGTAAAACTTGTTTCGCAGTTTTTATAATCATACCAGGAAATTGGTTAGGAAATTGTTTAAATTTCTTAAAATAATGTTTAATAAGAATATTGCGATCGTTATTTATTTTTAGGTTAAATTCACGATCTAAAAACCCTATCAACGGTTGTGCTAACTATAGAGTCTACAGATTCTCAACAGTTGTGCTTACTCTATAGAGGATAGCACAACCGCTGATGGATTTTAATTTCGCTGTAGAATCTAGACCAAAATTAACATTAAAATCTCCACTCAAATTATATTCGCGATCTAAAAAATCTATCCACGGTTGTCCTTTCTCAAGAGTCTAGAGGATCACAACCGTTGATTGATTTCAATGTTTATTTTACTGTAGGACTCCAGAGCAAAATTAACATTAAAATCCCCACTTAATTAAATTCACGATCTAAAAAATTTATCAACGGTTGTGCTTCCTCTGGAGTCTATAGACTCTCAACAGTTGTGTTTCCTCTATAGAAGATAGCACAACCGTTGATAGATTTCAATGTTAATTTTGCTGTAGACTCTAGAGCCAAATAAACATTAAAATCTGTACTTAATTAAACTCGCGATCTACAAAATCTATCAACGGTTAGGCTTCCTTTAGATTCAAGAGTAATGAAGCAAAAGAGCAATTCATTATTTCAGCCCAAAGTGTGGTTTGCGATTAGGTGCAAATAATTAAGCGCCCAATCTGGCGTCACTGCTCACGGATCGTAAAGGCCATAGATAATGAAGGTCACGTCACATCACAGAGCGTTCGCATTAGATGATTTTACCCTGCGTAAAAAAGTTTCACTTCAAAAATTCATACTTAATATTTAATATGAAAATTATGACAACATACAAGAGATTCTTATAAGATGACAATAATTTAGAGCCGAATTAATTTTTTTTTTTACAAAAATAGTTTCGACTTTAATTCCTAATTCAGTCTCAATAATGCCAATAAAAAACAACAACTACTTTATATAGGTAATACTGTTAGTATTATTCCTTGTTTGGAATGTTTGAGTACAAATAAAACAACAACAAATACGAATAATCAAATTCATATAAATCTGCAGAGAGCGGTGTAAAATTCCTGCAGAAAAGATAGTAACTGTGGCAGTGGAGGCCTGTCAGCAGGATTCGCGAGCCAGCAGTAGCTCATTACGGCAAACCTTTGAAAAAAATTAATTTAGATTTTTTTCGATGATCATTTTTTTACTTACAGTTCATCCGGACAACCCACTGGCTGTCCCAACCTGTAGCCATTTTTCAAATACGAACCCATTTCGAATGGGTCTATTTCCGAAAACGGTTGTTGGGCTAGAGTCGTTAGCTCCCATATTAAAACCCCGTATGACCACTGAATAAAACGTATTGATAAAAGATTTGTTGACTATTTAACAACTTACCACATCAGATGCTGCAGAGTAGTGCTTGTGTAGTAGACTTTCAACGGCCAGCCATTTAACAGCCTTGCTTTCATTATCTGATAGGCAAAAATAGTCATTTGGAAACAAATCTCTGGATAGACAGTTGTCTGCAATCTTCACTTGTAGCTTATCGTCAAGCCTAAACAACTCATTTTTAATTAAAACAATAAAGGCACCTTGCAAACCACTTACACGCAATTTCTCGTAGCTAAATCCTTATAGCAAACACACTGACTATGCAAGTACATCATCCCCAGTAAGATTTGTATCGCCATATCAACCAAATTTTGCGTTGATAGACTGTAATGATCATCATCTTTTTGCCGGCATTTTATTAAAAATCTCTTCAAATTACCCCTGCCAGCGTAGGAGTAAACGAGCAGGGGTTGTTTCGGATTGTCCATGTTAACACCCAAAACCTTCAGGATGTTTTTGTGATCCAACCCGTACATCATCGTTCCTTCCGATAGGAAGAGATTCAGTTGCCTTTTAGATGCAGTCTCTGTGGAAGTATGTGAATATATTAAGCTGGAGCGCTACCTATGTAGCAGTAGCAATACTAAACACAAACCTTTGATTGCCTTTACGGTTACTGTTTCTTGTCCCAACTTGGCGGTGTAGATTCTTCCAAAGATTCCTTCTCTGGTTACGTTCATCAATGTGATTGTAGCACGTGGTATCATAAGGGCTCGTAAACGTTTTGTTGGATCAACAAATCTGGGGTCTTGCAGTTGAACCTTTAAAACAAGCATTTTACGTTTTGTATGTATTGTATTTCAATCAGAATTTTAATTGCTTTTCTGAGATACCAAGAATCTTCCTTAACTTTTTTCAGAAAATTATATCAAGATCAATTGTATTATGAAACATTGTACTTCTTCTTCTTAAGAATTCTTGTCCATCAAAACGGCAATGTTCTCTCCCCAAATTTGAATGTTTTATGGGGGAAGTATTTTGATCTTAGGTGCATTATATTTAATAACAAGACCGGAAAGAAATATGTTTAGACGCAAATATCGAACATTTTTCTGCCTGTTCGTGTGGAAATATTTCCCTTTGAGGATTTTTATCAATTGTTCGAGATACATTGTTATAAAATGTAAATGGGGGGTTAAAGGAGCAGAAAACAGTCTGTGATCTTGAAAATAAAATCAAACTTATTGGAACATAATGTATATTTACATCGTTGATAAAAAGTTTATTTCAATGACTGACATAGAGTGGGTAAATAGTGAGGGGTAAATGATTAGACCGTGACTAACCGGGGTGTTAATCTCTTGAGAATCAGAGCAATACTATTTATTTAAGACATTGAATTTCCCTCTATTGCATCACCGTTATCTGTTTTTCGCATAAGCAACCCCTTACAGATTTGTGTGAAATCCATCAAACTACTGCCATGTGGCTGATAATATTTCATAGGGTGGTTCAGCGAAATTATCAAGTTTTTGTTAACTGCCCGCTTATCTAAATCAAACATCACTGACTCAACTCAATGGAGCTTTTTATTTCTCAATCTATTGTTAACAACACAAGGTTTTTCAAAAAGGTTTCAAACACAGACTGAATTTTACTGAAACTTTATACACAAACCACAAAAATGACGCGGTTGCCGTTACACAATACTTCCTAATGAGACAAAGCACAATGTTGTGGCTCTAAATTATTATAATTGTTACGTACGCGTCGATGGGTCAATTCATTGTTTAATCATTCGATTGGATATTTTGTAATAAGCCAATATTTGATTCCACACCTTTACCATATAAAACATTGCATTCATTTACAATTTAGATATGAAATTAAGGCAGCCATAAATTAAACTTTATTGTCGTCAACACTCGACACTGAAGTAATTGACCAAAAACAATTTGTACTACTTATGGTAACGATAAATTATATAAAGGTTATAAAAGAGTTGTCAAATTATTATAAGAGTTTAACAAGGTTTTATAAAATTGCCATTTAGTTTACTAGTTTTATAATGGTCATCTCTAGTTATTTAATTGTTTCTACAAACAGTTTATATAACCTTTAGTAACCGTCACCATAAAGGAGTTTTGTAAAGTTTGCGGTTACTTGTTTTACAAAACTATTGTGTATTTAATTTTTTTTAATTAAAATTTGTAAGTTATTAATTATTTATGTAGGTACTTAATAAACCAAAAATGTTTAGTAATTGAAACAGAAATTAGGCATAGTATTAGCTTTCGACTCAATGCTTTTTCATAATTTTAATTAAAAATAGGTTGAAACCAAAATATTTAGGATAGAATATGTAAGTAATATAATATTATTAACATAAACATTTTAAAAGTGGATTAAATCGAATGTTTAGTGAAATAAATTGATTCCATTGCGTTAAAACCATTATTACTGCAGGCAAAAATGCATATACTTACCAGTGTGGTAAGTATATGCAAAAATGGCGAAACTAACAACACTAACCTGAGCGGTTAGATGGTTGCCTATCAAAAGTTTTATAACATCACTTGTAGTAACGACAGTTACTCCAGTGTATATAAGAGTTTCAAAATTATATAATAACTCTTTAAGTAACTATAGTCCTATAAAACTAAACTAGTACCTTAGGTTATATAAAATTACCATGAGCAATATAAGAGGGCTCATATATTATTTAATAGTATAAAAATATTTATGTTTTGTTATTTTGATGTCCCCTACTGTTTTTCGAAGTACTGTGTAGATGTTTACATTAAAAAATACTTTGCACTTTAAGTCGTATTGAGTAAAAAATCTTAGATTTAAATTATATACCATTAACATTTTCGCCAAACTTGGCTTCTTAAAATATTCACGTGGTTTAAACAAGCTAATGAATAAGATGACAATAAGAAAGATAGCGTACCTATGAAGAAATATATATTTTAAATGTACCTGAGGGAGAGAGAAATATTAAAAGAAGGAAAAAAGCCGGTAGCAGTTCCTTAGGAAGTTATATAGTGGTTTCCATAATATTCCTGTTATCTCTAGTTATAAAACTTGGGTTTTATAGTGTTACTATAATAGGTACCGATAACCGTCATAAACTCCCCAAATAAGCTCTTTAAGGGGTATATAAGAGTGATATAAATATTTCTGTTACCAAATTAAGAAATTTAGGTTTTTAGAAAGATAGCGTACCTATGAAGAAATATATATTTTAAATGTGCCTGAGGGAGAGAGAAATATTAAAAGAAGGAAAAAAGCCGGTAGCAGTTTCTTAGGAAGTTATATAGTGGTTTCCATAATATTCCTGTTATCTCTAGTTATAAAACTTGAGTTTTATAGTGTTACTAAAATTGGTACCGATAACCGTCATAAACTCCCCAAATAAGCTCTTTAAGGAGTATATAAGAGTGATATAAATATTTCTGTTACCAAATTAAGAAATTAAGCTATTATTTAATTATTATAATGCACGTAAAAAGAATATATTCAATCAAGTTAAAAAGTATAGTACAGAAGGAGGGCTGAATGTTTAATAATGTCTTATTCGTATTGTCATGGGCTTTTTACCCTTGTTTGATTTGGCGAAAAACATATTGAAAAAGTGCTCCCCCTTGTTTTACGCACTCAAATCTATTCAATAATTTAGCAAGAACAGGGAAAAATGTTACATAGCTACATAGCTAATTTCGTACTTTTCTTTAAATAGTTTTTTTACACATTTCCTGTTATTCTAGAAGCGGTTCAATTGTTTTTTTTTATTTAATTAATGGATTAAGGGACGGATTTGTCTCTAAATCCAGGCTTTGTCCAAATAATATCGACTGGATTGTTTTCAAAATAGAACCGCATCCATTAAATATAAAGGTTTTCAGATTGAAAACATATATCAACAGTTTGTCCCATTGTAAAAATTCTTAAAACCTTTGTTTGATCAAAGAACATTTCCAGTGTTGAATTTATCGAAATGTTGCGGAAAGTCATCTTTTATTTTACATTATTAACAAGCATGGTAGGGGGTGAAGGAAATGAAGGGGTCGGTGGGCGGAATTTTGGCAAACGCGGCTTAATACGGCCCTCGGGCTTATTAGGGGTGAGCTGTGAAATACAAATTATATACCTTGTAAATGAAAAGCCAAATCGACATAAAAATTCATAGGATTTTTATCAGAGTCTTACATAAATTTCTCTATCATATTCATTCCTCGGGAAGTAATAAAAATGGAAATGATATAGTTCAGCGCATTTTCGTGTCTGCAATCCAACGTTTTTTAACTACAGTTTCATTCCATTTGCGGTAAAATAAACATTTTTAATGAGTTATCATAAGTTGACGTTTAGCTATAACCAGAAACCAGCTGGAGTCAAATAGTTGTCTAGATTAAGTGGCAATGTCAAAAAACAATTTTTAATGTCCTGAAGCAATCAGAAACGATTTTCAAAATGTTTCTCAAGGATCTGATTGGTGCTATCTGGTTGAAACAAAAGTATTGTACAAAAATATCAGGAATGCCATTTGAAATCTGTTCTGAACAACCAATCAATTAGCATGCCAGATATGAATCGATTGACGATCTATGATAGCATTGGTTGTTGTGTAAATGTGTAGCTGGGAGCACTTAGCTTCATGTAATTGCATGAAGGGTCCCCCTTTAATTACCCGCTGTAAATCAAAGCAGTTCGCTAAATTAACATAGGAATTCAGTTGCGAATGTCATCGCCCAAAAATCCTGATGTATGTGCGGATACGCAGTCTAACACACATCCTGGAGCCTCTTTATAACGAAATAAATTGCCTCATTACAGCCTTCCAATAAATGACATCGAAAGTTCTCATGGTCAGAGTTGAAGATTGTATCAGGAGCTACTGTCCATCTTTCCTGATGCAATCTTTAACTCTGACCACGAAAAGCTTTCCGTTCCATTTAAGGAAAGACAGTATATATTATTAAACAAATATTAGAAATATTCCCCAACATCAAAACAAAACACAAAGTACTCAGTTACTCTTCGCTTCTGAACATCGTTGGCGAAAAGTACTTTAAGCACTTTGTGTTTTGTTTCGGTGTTGGGGAATATTTCTAATATATGTTTAACATATCACCAAAGTTGTCTTTCTTCAAGTATCAGTATATGTTGTCAACATATAATGAAATATTGAGGTCTTGAAAATTGAAAATCCCTGCCGCTTATGATATTGATGAGATTCAGGAGTGATAGGGGGTTGAAAACTAACCTGAGACATTAGCATAATTTGCGAGGAGGCGTAGTAAGATACCCGGCAGGCGTCGCTGGTTGCATATGGCGAAGGCGATGGGGGCGATTTCTGAATTGATGCTATTGTCGCATAACTTCCACTACCTATGCTTGACGCCCGACCCAGTCCTGAGCCCAGACGCAGGAAAACGTGTTGATTGTTGTCATAAATTGCCGTCATATAGCTGAAACAAATTCAAGATATTGCATAACCTATCCTTTTTGAGCTTTATATCTCCTTTTGGACATAATATGTCCAAAAGGAGATACATATTATGTTCAATAAAACCCAAATGTTCAGTTTTTAATTTATTATTCCCACTCAGAACTTTTGCTAATTAACAGTTTTTTTAATGGTAAAATAAAACGGAAAAGTTTAATACATACAGAGCTGGATAATTATTGCCGTGAAACACACGTATCTACTAAAGCTGTAATTCATAAAATTTTGTCAATTTTATTGCGACGATTAAAAGCCAACATGGAAATGCGAATATGATATTTATTTGATTCATTACGGCAATAACACCACATGGGTGGGTCATTTATTAAATCAAAATTTTTATAAGCAAATTTAACGTTTTTTTCAAAAGCACTTTAAAAATTAAACGCTTTAAACAGTCTCTATTTGATTTATAAGTTATAACAGACGAAAGCGAAGCATTATTATGTATTTATACAGAACATTATAGATACAGGCTTATTTCGAAAAGTAAACTTAACTTTCAGACCCTTATTCAGTTTGCCATCGAACTAAAAGGTATTGATCGATTAACTCAATTAATCATAATTCAGCCAATATGGACATTAAATAATCAACAAAAAAGTGATTTTGAACCGAAATTTGCAATTTTACTTTTTATAGAAAGTATGCTGTGAAGAATGCCGTGTTCTGATTGGCTTATTGCTTTCTAGAGAAAGTAGAGTAGCGGCTCGACGACAGTATAGAAAAAACGTCATTTAAACTTAAGCAAACGTCATTAAAACGTCAGCGGACGTCTGGGATTAGCAGACACGATTTCATTCATAAACAGCGCGACTTACCATTGCTCTGTCTATACTGTAGTAAAGTCGCAAACTTCAAGAAAGAGCTTCATTTTTAGAATAATAGGAAGTATTTAAAAAGCAGGAAATCCATTTTAGAACACAAAAGAAGTAAATTTGTTACACTTAAATTGTGTTTGTGGTGAGTGAAGTGAAGTTTGCATGCGGCATCGACATACGAAGTAATAAAAATTTTAACCGTATATCGATTGGTTAAGTCGTATCAAACGATTTTTTATTTATGCCACACATGGCTTGTGTGTAATGAAGTTGCAAACGGAAATAAGTAAAAGAGCTTTTACCCGAGTCACGTATTTTGGCGCAAAACGTTTATAATTCATTATCGTGAAAATGCGAAATTTAAATGAATATGTAATACTGGAAACTTCTATAATGGAATCGAGATATCTAATATACACCTAGACTTGACTACTTTTCGTACACAAGTTTCAAAGGTTTATTTGTACTCAAAGGTTTATTTGTACTCTATCATCATTATTGCGGAAACTCTAAAGAAACATTTCAACTTGTCAGTTTATTGTGTTTATAAAATAACGACTATGTAAAAAATAAAAATATGAATTCGCATATCGACAAGATAAAATTAAAAATTTTTACACTCACTGGGCGTCTTGGGATCTGACTTTCTTGCTTTTAATGCAGACAGCTGATGTTGTAGCTACCACCAGACTTATCATAGCGACAGCACATGCCATTGCTACGTAAAGAGACCCTGTGGCATTCTCCAACGATTCTGGGTCCAAAAGAATCGAGTCATTTCGATGAGTAGTGCCGATACCTAGGAAAAAAATTATTACTTTTCAAGTCGAAAAAATGGCGAATGCGCCGGGATCAATGCTACTCCCACCTATATCGTACATGTTTCCATGACACTAAGTGACCTTTTAAATACGCATTGACAAGTTGTAGCTTTATGGCGCTTTAGTCAAGGGCTGAAGTAAGCAACAGGTTTTTAGTCACGGGTTCAAGTTAGTTTTAAGTTAGTTGACAGTTGTAAAATGTCATACAATCGTTAAGTAATACTAAATGTGAAAATTATTTTATTATCTCAAAAGTATTCAATACTTTCTTGATGCCATGAATGAAGATTATATGAACGTTTGTACTGAACATTTGATTTAACTGATTGAGCGTTAAAAATTTTGCGTACAGTGCCCATAAAACATTCTCTTCTCTTTTAGTGTAAAAAACTGCTTCTATATCGATTCTTAGTCTATTTTCAAGGGATGCATTTTGATTTACACAGAAAAATTTGAGATTTTAACGCCGGTATCACTTTGTGATAATATTTTGCAGTTATGGTAATAAAAAAAATCAAATTCAATTTATTGGGATGGTTACTTTATTTTCGTTTAGATGTCGCTTTATACAAATATTTAATTAAAATATTTTTTTAAATAACATTAAGTATATGTCGTATTCGTGACTAAAATGGCGTTTATCAAACTTGATACATAAAATACTATTACTTTTTTAATATAAGTTGGTAATTGTATCGATTAGGTGAAACTTGCAGTAAAACTGTACAAGAAATCATTTTTAATAACCCAAATAAAAATTTTACGGTGGCTCGTTAATGTTGTCACTAAAGAAATATTAAGAAAGCAGGGGCGGATTCAGGACAATATTTCGGAGGGGGTTTCAAAATATTTAAAAAATTGCATTATAAATTCCCATCCTATCAACGGAAATAATCATTATTCACGTTGTTAGGCGTCAGTGATTGGCCGACTTCATTATTCACTGTGATTTGGACCAATAGGGTTTTAAATTGGGAGAAGGCAACTATAATAATACACTCACAGGCAAAATAATCGATCCACACAAATTTTCGATGAATGTGAATCGCAAATAACTTTTTTATTTGATTTCACATTTTAAAAATTACTAAAAATACACGTACGTTTATAATATACAGGTTTAAACAAAAAGATGTTTTTTACCAAAAGTTTAAGACACTCTGTAGAGTGGCAAAACCGTATATTGTTCTAAATTAAGTTTTAATTATCAAGTCACATCTATTTTTAAGAGTTTTGTTTTTGGTTCACCTTGATATATTTATTTTTGTGAAAAATGTGGATTAAAAAAAAAACATTGCAATTTCCAATATTTTTCCTGTATGAAGAACTAAGGTTGCTATGGTCCATCCATAGCCTATTGAGGATGACAGTGACAGTTTTGTTGAATCATCCCATACTTGGACATGTCATATATAGCTTTCAAAAGCTATCAAATTGTTTTTTGTAAATTAATGTGTTAATTTTGAGGTGTCTTCTTACTTTTAAAAATGTCTCCGACTGATGTTGCCCTATGTACTTTACTTCTTGTGGCGTTTAAAACACTTGCCACGTAATACTGTGACCGTCCATCCTGGATTAAATTAATGGCTCTGGCAACATCAGTCGGAGACATATCCATTTTTTAAAGTAAGAAGACACCTCAAAATTTAAACATTAATTTGCAAAAAACAATTTGATAGCTTTTGAAAGCCGTGTATGACATGTCAAAGTATGGGATGATTCAACAAAACTGTCACTGTCATAGCAACCTTAGTTCTTCATACAGAAAAATATTGGAAATTTTTTAAAAAATCCATATTTTCCACAAAAATAAAAATATCGAGGTGAACCAAAAACAAAACTGTTAAGAATAGATGTGACTTGACAAATAAAACTTAATTTAGAACAATATACGGTTTTGCCACTCTACAGAGTGTCTTAAACTTATGGTAAAAAACATCTTTTTGTTTAAACCTGTATATTATAAACGTACGTCTATTTTTTAGTATTTTTTTAAAATGTGAGCGATTGTCCAATAATTTATCTACAATATTCTTTAATATTCGTTTAAATCCGACATCAAATAAAAAAGTTATTTGCGATTGAAATTCATCGAAAATTTGTGTGGATCGATTATTTTGCCTGTGAGTGTATTTAAAAGTGGTAAAAAGTAAGGTTAACTATTTGACAGATATCAGATTTTATTTATTTATTTAATTATCCACTTAATCGAGTAGATACACTCGAGAATATGCGCATTATTTCTCGTATAATAATATATTATGATCCAACTAGAATATCAATTTAAGTCACTGTGGTAATTCTCCAAGTTAGTAATAAAGCACCCCTTGTCTAATAAAATTAAATCTTCACTTTTACACTGTTGCGCCCTAAAATCATATACTATACATTGTATAGCGACTGTTTCAGATTTAACCCTATTGTAAATAACGCTAATTTCATTAAATAATTACTCGAAGAAACTAAGTTTATGTCTTGGCAAGTTATTAAGCTCAAAACCATAGTGAAAATTGCACTTGGGCTAAGTTTAATAAATTCCCGCAAGTCTAAAACTATAACGCAAATTGTTATTTCACACCTTTAAGCCTTCACACAGATATATTCCTATAGACTGTTAAGTAACTCCTAGACCATGTTGATGGCAAAAAAAGAAATTCAAAATATTTTAATTACAAGGAACAACGATGGGAAGTAAAGAATGGCGTTCGTCTTGTTCTTGTAATTTGTGGCATTTAAAAGAAAAGAGTAAATGGTCTTCCCCCCTGAATGAATTTCTATTACCTGAAACAAATTACGTAGTAAATGAAAACTTACGTTCTTGCTTTTGTTTTTTTTTCTGTTGTTTTTTTCGGCTGTCCAGACTCAATATACAGTTTTAATATCCGTTCGCACGTCCACGTTTTTTTCTATTAAAAGAGACATGATAGAATGTTTGTTGGTCTCAAATGCTCTAAAAATATGTGGGGGACATTCCATATTACTTTCTGTCAATTTTGCGATATAAAGAGAACTTGAAAATTTGTAATTCAAATGCAGGAAAAACAATGAAACAGCGTTTTAGGTCGATAAAAAAAAGCTTACTTTGCTCCAATTTGCATCCTATAGCGCATGGGAGTTTTATCATCTGTTTATTAAAGAAATGTTAACTACAAAAAGCAAATTCACCCTGTATATTCAATTTTAATTTTCCATTTATCCCCTTAATTTAAGGACCTTAAAAATGTATGCGATACAGTGTGTTCCCCCCTCTGGAATTACCCTTTAAGCAAATTTTGTTCCTCTTGAAGTTGAGCGTTGTGGCGTGAAGACCGTTGAATGAA